GTGACGCATCCCATAACTGTTAAACAGAAGAAACCCATGCCCCATCCCAATCCCCGGAACGCGTAGGGTAGAGTCAGAATCGTCGGCCCCACTATCGCCGTCGTCAAATGGAAACCCGCATGCCACCAGTTCCCTGTACCACAAAAACAAAAAAAAAAAAAATCAGATTAACATCAACTCAATCCACCACCACTCGCGCTATTGGCGTATCCGTACGTACGGCCGGTTTCCTTCACCTTTTGATTCGAGAACAAAAGCTGCTCCGGCGTCGGATCCGAATCGGGACTCCGGAAATGGGCCCGCTTGTGGAGGCTCTGGCATTTTCGTGTTCTGGCGTCAGCGATGCGTTGAAATGCCAATTAAAAGATGTAAGGAAGGAGGAGAAAACAGGAGTGGGCCGGGATTGGAATCCTTGGAAGCGTTGGGAAGAAGCAGGGGCTAGCTAGCCGGCCGCCACGCCAAGGATGTCAATGAGAATAAAACGGTTGATACTAACTTTTGAACTTTCAAGCACAAAAATAAACACCAACGTGAAGAGCAGGAGACACCACTGACTTCTTAAACTCAATGAGACAGACAAGACAAGACTCTAATGGATGGAATTGATTCAGAAATAACTTTCATATAATTTTTTATTTTATTTAATATTAGAGAGCTAAAACAGATAAATTCTGTCTCCTTTCAATGAATAAATAACATATTTATTACCAAAAAGAAAAGGCAAAAATATGACATAAGGACCTGAACTTACCCAAATTAGCAATTTCGGACCCAAACTTTGATTGCACTCAATAAAGGTCCCAAACTCTACGAAATTCTCAAATAAGGTACCAATTAGACGGAAAACTAACTTCCGTAAAATCTCCAATTATTCCGTTAATGTCCGTCACACTTCACACCCGCCACTTGAAAAAAATTGATTAAATTCTAATTTTGGTCCCTCAACTTCATTAAGTTGCACTTTTTTGTCTCTCAACTTCATTAAATTTCATTTTTTGTCCCTTAACTTCATTAAATTGCACTTTTTTATCTTTCAACTTTATTAAGTTATACTTTTTTGGTCTTTAAAATATTTTTTGCACCTTTTTGGTCCTTAAACTATTTTTTACACTTTTTTTATCCTTTAACTTTAACAACTGCACAATTTTAATACTTTCGTCAGTTTAAACCGTTAATTTCATTCATGTGGTATTTTTTATATTTTTTTGATGACATGTATAATCTAACTGAAAAAAAATAATAATATAGATCATCTAACTAGAAATAATGATAACATGAATAAATAAAATAATATGTAGATAAATTTTTATATTTTTAATAAAAATAAAAAAACTTCTCCACCGATTTTTTTCCCCAGCTAGAAGAAAGAGAAAGAAAGAGGGGGAAGAAAATAGGTAGAGAGGTTTTTATATATTTTTATAAAAAATATAAAAATTTATCTACATGTTATTTTATTTATTCATGTTATTATTTTTTTCTAGTTAGATTATATATGTCATCAAAAAAATATAAAAAATACCAAGTGAACAGAGTTAATGGCTTAACTGATGAAAGTATCAAAATTGTGCAATTATTAAAGTTAAGAAATTAAAAAATTGTAAAAAATAATTTAAGGACCAAAAAAGTATAAAAAATAGTTTATGAACCAAAAAAGTATAATTTAATAAAGTTGAGGGATAAAAAAGTGAAATTTAATGAAGTTGAGGGACAAAAAAGTGAAACTCCATGAAGTTGAGAGACCAAAATTAGTATTTAACCAATTTTTTTCAAGGGTGTGAAATGTGACGGACATTAACGAAATTAATAGAGATTTGACGGAAGTTAGTTTTCCGTACAATTGGGAACTTGTTTGAGAATTTCATGGAGTTTAGGACCTTCATTGAGTGCAATCGAAGTTTGGGTCTGAAATTGCGAATGTTGTGTAAGTTTGGGTCCTTATGTTATATTTTTGCAAAAAAAAAATGCATAACATAATGCGGAAAGAAAACCTGTTTTAGCAATGAGTAAGATTCGAATTATCGATTAAAAACAAATTACTAAGTTTAAAGGGTCAGTCCCTTATATTATATATATTTACGTATTTAATGACATAGAGAAAGTATGTAAAAAAATTCTCAAACCACATTACCTTACTGTTGTAAAGAAGCACAGTCTACGTCCTCATGAACATATTATTCTCTCCTTTTTTAACTTTAAGTTTAATTTTTAATTAAGTTAGAATCTATTTATATAAATTTTTTATTTTTTATTATATTTTTTAAAAATAATTATTTTTTATTTAAAAAATATAATAAATTTCAATGATTGAAAATAAAAAAAATAAGTTATTAAGATTTTGATATGAGATTTATTTGCAAGTGGATAAATTTCTACTCTTTTTTAATTTAAGAGTTTAAATTTAATTGTTAACTTTTTATTTTTAAAATGTCATTTAATACACTTATTTCTAGTAAAGTCGAATGAATAAAGTTTTTGGCTGTATATTTCAAAATGAAATTATGAAATTAATTTAAGTTGTTTAGAGTTTGACAAAGTTGAGAATGAGCTGTAATAAACTATATATATATTTGAACATGGGGAATTATGAGGATGGAAAATTTTCAAGTTATTAGTAAGAGTTAAACTCTCGATCAACTTAACCCAAATACTTAAGACTTGAGAATAAACTATTAAACTTAAAGGTCTGGTTTTTTAATAAACTATATTGAAACATATATCTTCTAAGAGTTTTTATAAAATATGTACTAATAGGTTAAGAGTCTATTAATTTTAATTTTATCAATTAGTCACTTAGAAGTAACCATGTGTCATTGCCAACAAAAATAAAATCAAACTTTATGATTTTTTATAGAACTTAAGTATAAAAGGTGTACTAAATGCACATATTAAATAAACTTTATATTCCATAGGTTTATAAACTGAATTGCTAGAGCATCAAAGTTTAGTTCCTTTCGGACAAAAGAAAATTATGTAAACACTTACTTGAAATCTCACTTATCCGATTCTGCCATTGTGGAAGACACAATTTTTTCTGAAGAATTCGCCATGATATATCCGTAATATCATGAAAAATGGATACAAATTTTTGACTGCTACTTAGTATTGGCAATAGATGATCTGAAAAAGTATCTAAAAATATCAAATTTAGATATTTGTACCCGGTTGAAGTAAGGAACCATGGTATATATGTTTGGAATAGCTAGGTTCCATTTTGAGAGAGTTGAAAACCCACTATCTCGTTGAGAGATTCTATCCATCTACCCTTTCTCATCACATTTCTTTAGACAGACTTCGTGTTTTCCTCTTTTCAAATGGTAAATATTTCTCAGAACATGAAGCGTGAATCAAACCCATGTTTGAATTGAAATTGAGATACTGATGCAAGTTCCTCTCTTCTGAATCAAATGGATTCATATTGAAAGAGGTTGACAATAAGTT